GGCATACGGGGAGAGCAATGAGGACGTGAGCAGGGCAAAACAAGGGGGGGCAGGGAAGGGGGGTGCATGGAGGAAAACCAGGAAGGACAAGGGAGCAAAATTAGCGGAAGAGTGCAAGTGCACCGTCGGCATCCCAGAGAGAACGACGGTAGCTCATTGTGCCAGCAGGGACACGAGAGCCACGCATGCAGAGGTGGCGGGCCCGAAGAATAGCTAGGCTGAGCCGAGCATTAACGTAGCCACGCACCACTGAGTAAGGGCGTTCCCACTTTGCAGCGAGCTCAAAATCTTGTCATTAGTGGGTCGTCTCCGCGATCTTTTGAATGGGGGATACCGATACGGTAGGGTTTGGGTCTCTATGTTCTGGTCCATTCAATATTTCGGAAACAACGAGTTTGAATTTTGGTGTCTGTATTTCGGATCGGGCTTTAAGTCTCCAGAAGTGGAAAGAAGCCTCCAGAAGGTTTGGATTCGATTCCGGTTGGTGGCTCCACAAACCACAAAGCCACACGAACCACCCGCCACAGGATCCTCGAAAGTTTCGACCACCGCAACAGCCAACCGCCAACACACACACAACAAACACATCTCTCTCTGTGTTTGCTTTGATCTCTCTTTGAATAAGACGACAACAGTACTAGCTAGTAACTATCATCTAATAGTCTAAGTATGCCGAACGCTCAAGCAGAAGCCCTCAAAGGGCAAGGAAATCAGTTCTTCAAGACTGGCAAGTACGCCGAGGCGATTGAAAAGTACAAGGCGGCGACGGCATTGGATGCGAGTGTCCCGGCGTACTGGTCGAACATGGCGGCGTGTTACGAAAAGTTGAGTAAATTCGACGAGATGGAAGAAGCGGGTCGTAGTTGTATCAAGGCGGATCGTAGTTTCGTCAAGGGCTATTTCCGTTTGGCCACGGCGCAAAAAGCGAAAAACAACTTGGCGGATTGCATCAAGACATTGGAGAGTGGATTGGCCGTCCAATCCAGCAATCCCGATCTAAAGAAAATGAAAAAGGACGTGACAGAACTCCAGCGTGCTGAACAAGTGGCGGGCTACTGTGGAACAGCCAAGGAACAAGCGCAGAATGGAGATGTGGGTGCGGCTATGAAAACGCTCGAACTAGCCTCTCGTTTGGACGCCGGCAATAAGGACATTGATGCGCTCATGAGCAAGATCAAACCCAAGTGGGAAGCCCAAGAAAAGAAACGCAAGGCCGGTCTTAGTGCCACGGAAAAACACAAAGAAAAAGGAGACGAACTCTACAAGGACGCCAAATTCGAAGAAGCCGTCGCCGAATACACCAAATGCATCGACGCACTCAAAAAGGAAGGCAAGGCCATGTCCGAATTGGCACTCAAGGCATACTCCAATCGAGCCGCCTGTAACAAGCAAATCTCCCATTTCGATGGAACCATTGAAGATTGTACCGCCGTCTTGGAAATTGATCCCGAAAATGTCAAGGCACTCATCCGTCGTGCTCAAGCGTTCGAGGGAGTCGAACGGTACCGTTTTGCTCTACAAGATGTCAAGTCCGTCTTGGCCATGCCCTATCACAAGGTCGGTAAAGCCAATTTTGATCTCTGCAATGGAATGCAGCATCGTCTGCAACGAACTGTCGATCAGCTCAAGAAAATGAGTAGTAGCTAAACCCATGAGCACACGTCAAGAAAACGGAAATAAATACTCACACACACGAGATGATGATGATGATACGAAAAAAAGAAAAAAAGAAAAAATAATACAAACAAAATTATGAAGCAACGATACAGACAGACAGAACGAAGAAACAAAACACGTTGGGGGAATTCAAAATGACAATACTAATTTTTGTGCTGGTGGAGTGGAGGCGATCGTGATTCATGTTTCCCTTTGGATTGTTGTTGTGTTGTGAAGAATGAATCGATTTGTTCGTCTCTACAGTGGATGATATATATCTCTATGTCTCTCTGCTCCAGAACCAACTACTAAATTAGCAAGTACTTAGAAGAAGAACCGCACGTGTAGCCGAGTCCGTTTCCAGCTACCATAGCTGATGCGTTCATAACATGTCGTAGGTGAGGGGGAAACAAACTCGACATCTACCGTACAGATGACGAATTCAACGAGGTGGCAATGCGTGTTGAGCAAAGATTGTGAGGTAACCTCCTGCAGCTACCATCGCCGAGACGAAGTATGGTACATGCTGGGCACAGAAATTGGATATCTGTGAGCTTGATTCACTGATAGTCCAAGCATGGTTGCCAGACCACGGATTGTTGGCTGGCTCGTGGTGCAGTCTGAGTGGGAGGGACTACGTAGGCAAATGGAACGTGAAACGGATGGTGCGGGGGCAGATAGATGATGGGGAACCTAACGGGGCTCCACTCAAGGCGCAGGGCCCGTACCGTGCCTGGTTCCTGTAACTTTGTGACCATTGATTACACGATCACAGATGGGTCCAAAGTTCCAAACGTTGCTCGCGAAAGTAACCACACGGACGAGGGGCTCAGGAGGACTACATCATCCTGATCTTCGAGGAGCAAAACTCGATAGCGTAGTTTAGATCATAGTACCGTGTCTCATTGTCTCTTTCACTAAATGGCTACGGTACGGGCCTTTCAAAATACACCACTCTACGACGTTGTTGCGAACTCGCCACCAATTAGTAATTGTCTCAATGCTATTGATTAAGTATCCCATCGTTGTTGATTCTGTTGTACAAAATAGGCGGCAAATTCGTCATATGTCTTGTATCCCAATGGTTCCATGGATTGGTTCCACTTTTCTTGCAAAACTGTTTTGGCCGTATCGTTGAGTTGTTGGGTATGTGTCTGAGTGGCAACTTTGGGGCCCGGTGCCAATTGGGACAAATCCCCGGCTCGTCCCAGTTGTTTGGCACGTTCGTAGGGTTCATCAAAGAGTGTGACGTATTGTGCCATGTATTGTTTGGTACTCATAGAGGCGACCTTGTCCACTATGGCGGTATTATTGTGAATGGATAGACCCATGAATGTGGCAATGCGACGAATATTGGCGGGCATGTTCTGCACCACATCTTCGTAGACCAACACCAAGACACTGGGGCAGTCTCGTAGGGCATGATATTCCTGATAATAGTCCCAGATACTGGCTCGTCCCGGCCGTCCTTGGACAAAGGGTGTCTCGAGTAAAAATTGGGACACGTCCTTCAATTCCAATACCAATGGTACCTGTTTGGCGAGCAAAAAGTTGTAAAAGGAGAGTACCGTCTTGGCAGGATCTCGAATGGTGACAATATACTTGCATCCCCGATAAATGCTGGCCATGCGAAGATGCGACTTGAAGACCCGCGGCGTATACTGACTCCCGTCAACATTGGGATCGTATCCAATATCCCACGACAGCAGGGGCCACGGTACCACTTGATAGAGGGTTTCTATTGCCTCAAAATGGGCGGGGAAATCGTAGTCGATACCTTCTTTGGCGATCAAGCGAAGCAAATGACACAACCACGTCACCAATGTGGTGCCCGTCTTGGAAAAGGTGGCCACCATGATATCCGTGGGTTGGACTTGAAATTCTTCCACGGCTCGTCGCACCGATTCCTTCGACATCATGGTATCGGGATGGCCAATTGGGATAAACGGGAAATCGGGTGGTAATGATGGAACATCATCCTCTTTCTTTTTATGAGTTGATGGTGCTGCTGACATTTTTAGTTTGGTTGATTTTGTGTTGGATGGAGTCGAGTCGAATTCTAGTAGATGCAAAGGTTCTAGCTAGCTAGCATAGCGCTGTCATCCTTTGAAGGTTTGTCTCAAGCATGGTGTTGTCCTCAATGTTTGGTTTTGGTTTGGGAGGCGGTTGGGAGGGAGTTGGATGTGGTTGGATCCTTCTTGATGAAGTCACGGATACTGTGGACTGAGGTCAGCGTTATGCGAAGCCTCTTTTTTCTTCTTTTTGCTTCTTCCGCAAACTCTGCATTTTCTTTCTTCACCACCCAACCACCCGGATGCTTTCCACCACCATTCTCACAAGCCACCCTCCAAACAGAACAAAAAAACCTTGTGGTGGAATACGTCCAAAGGAAAGAAAGAACGAGACCATGTCGATGATGAAGAGCTCGCTACGGTTGGTCCAATCGCTTGGTGTGGTGGCAAGACGCACTAATAATGGAGCAAGATCTGTGGGATTTGCAGGCTCGAGATGGATGAGTGATGATGCGGCTGCCACTTCCGACGACAGAATCCATTCCACAGAGTGAGTTTTTGGAGAAGTCGGTTGGATTCCACGTGTGGCCTTATGAAAGAGTATTATTATATTGACCATATTCTTGATTTTTCTTTTTTGTTTATTTTGCAGCATTGCATTCAAGCCGGCCGAAAGTGGGTGGGGAGGTACCAGGAAATACTCCTCCAATTTCGACAAAATCTTTGGAAACAAGAATCAAGCACAAGGGAATGACGCTACCGGTCCCACCGCCACGGACAGTAGCACCTCAGGGAATTAATCATTACAACTCGCACTGAGATTCGATTCAACCAGGAGCACTCGATCGATATTCTGGCTGTGGCTCAAGTTAACAACATTCACAGCGAATCTGGAAAGAAATGATAAAGAAAAGGATCCCGGTTTTATCCAACAAATCAATCAATCAATCAGCATCAGACAAACTTTTACAAATTAGAATGAGAGGAATCTTGGTACTGTACTCAAAGGAATGAATCTTCAATCAGAAAGCAGTTGGGCAACTGCTTGGATATCCCCAACTACATTTTCTTTGCAATCAGAACCGATAACTCCACCTTTATAATAAAGAACAACCCACTGGATTTTATTTAAACCCTGGTGTAAAATGCAGTTCAAGACCGTGGTGCTTTATACCGGTACACATAAACTGTAACATTTCTATACTAGTAGGTAGTAGAGTCGTACGGTAGGCCTCCAAAAGCACTGGATGTATCAGCTCATCAGACCAGCACAAAAAACCGTGACACGGAAAGTTCATGAACCAAAACACATAGCAGGCTCAAGCTTGCCAGCCATGGCTGTTCCTCGAAAGCCCATCCCGGCGGCATGATTAAAAACTTGTTCATGTTGTGTTACTGCATACATGTACTAGCTAGGTACTAGAAAAAGTCAAGTCTCAGAGTGGCTTTTTTTTATTAAAATAAAGTCGGCCAGGATCTCTTTTTTTGAAAATGGGGGTAAGAGTAGGTGGATTAGCTGAGGAAGCCAGGGAGGCCAGGCTTTAAAAGCAAAGAAGAGCCGAAATTGAGGACTAGGCTCCATGGGATCAGGGGCCATAAATTGAGGACCAGTATTTTTTGGTTCTCTAGTAAAGCGTTTGCTTTAGAGTAGGGAAGTTATCTACGAAAGCCGGAGAGGGGTTCTCTAGCTAGTAATCTATTTGTATCGTCCGTTTATCGTTGGTACCCATAGCATGCAGCGTTCCATCTATCGCAATGTAGCCCGTAGACGGGCCAATCCCGCGCTGGAAAGCTGTCGTTGGCTCGTGGCGAGCTTGTTCATGTTCTCCTGCGTCGACGTCGAAGAAACACTCAACTCACCAAGAGACTGCACCTTGCGTAGATTGACCCCTGCAGCGGCAGCCACCTCGTCGATTTCAGAGTCCACAGTCGACTCAGTTTGATCGAAAGACCGCCTGGTTGCCAGATTACGAGAGGAGGCGGACAATAGCTTGGCTCGGATCATAGTACTGGTAAGCTTTGGTGTTTGTTGTTGTTGTTGTTTTGGAGGAAGAGGAGACGCAGCAGCAACATGACCACCAATACCCTTGGCAGAAACCGTGCGTGCCGGTGGCATTCGGCCCAAGGCTCCGGGATGAGCGACCCCAGCAGCCGCCAACAGGTTGGAAACGGGGTCAGCCGCTGGTGCTACTGGGATAATGTTCCTTGAGACCACACCAGACGCCCCACCCTGTTGCTGCAGCGCCGTGACAATGGAGGATCGAACAAAATCATCGGCCAAACTTTGGAGCTTGTTCTTGGGCGGTTGCATCGTAGTCATCATGTTGCGATTGGATCCCATGCGTTTGGGTTGTGGTCTCATTGTTGTTTGCGGAGGTTGCATGGCCGCCAATGGTGGCCTCATCATCATCATTCATGTGGGCATATTAGAACACGCCGTGATGCGCGCCGTGATGGTATTCTACAATTCTTCTCGTGGAGCGACCGTTGCATGCTAGGACCTCACTACTCAGCCACAGTAGCTCCAGCAGTCGACGTAACACACGTCATCTCATGTGGGCTGAAACCATCGTGTATGGTCGAGCTCATTTATTGTAGACGCCTGAGTGCTCCTGCTATGTGGATTATGCTTAGTGAGGTTGCAAGGTCTCATTTGGGGAGGTTGCATGGCCGCCGAGGGTGGCCTCATCATCATCATCATGTTGGGATTAGAACCCATTCGTGTAGGTTGAGGTCTCATTTGGGGAGGTTGCATGGCCGCCGAGGGTGGCCTCATCATCATCATGTTGGGATTAGAAGCCATGCGTGTGGGCTGAAGTCTCGAAGTGGTTTGGGGTGCCGAGGGTGGCCCCATCATCAAGTTGGGATTGGATCTCATGCGCGGGGGCTGTGGTCCCGTGGTACTTTGAAGCGGCATGGGTGGTTGGAACGGAGCCTTTCTACTACTCGCCACGGCTGGTGTAGCATTGTTGTTTCTGGCTTGCCTTACTCTGGATAGCACAAGATTTGGGTTGGAAGAACCTCGAGCAGGAGCTCCGCGGTTGTCGTTGTTGTCTCTGGCGGATCTAGCACGTGCAGGCAATTTGCGTTGCGGCGTGCCTGCAATGTTGGTGACGTTGGTTGCTTGGGGCTTGTTGTCTTGCTGTAGGAACTGGTGTGCCGCGAAACTAAGATTGGGACAAGAACTGTTGAATCCTCCGGCGCCCTTCCTTCCCGACGCTTGTCGTGTGGGCAAGAGCTTTCGTGGAGTTGGTTGTCCTTGACGTGGTTGGGGTGGCACTTGCTGTTTCGTCTCATTTTCCTCTTGTGGTTTTTCCATTTTCGAATTGAGACAGGAACGGTGCAGATTCCCCTTGCGAGACGCATCTGAGGAAGGAGCAGGAGAATTGGACGATAGTGCTGGCGACAAGTCCTCCAGGGAAAGGGAATCATTAAAGTCCTTGCGACGTCGACTCTTTCCCCTGGGGCCCAACGAAGGTCTTGCGGAAGAAGATGCTTCTGTACCGGTGTCAGCTCGCAAGTCCTCGGGGGTAAGCGATTCATTGGACCCCCTGCGAATGGTCCTGTTTTTCTTGGGACTCATGGAAGGTCTTTTGCTGTTTTCTGCAGACAAGTCCGTGGAAGAGTTGTGGACGCTCCTCTGACTGCGGCCCTTCCTGGATCCCATAGACGGTCTTCTACTGTCTTCTGGATACAACTCCTCGGCAGATAAGCTCCTCTGACTGCGACTCGTCCTATTAGATCCCATATAAGGTCTCTTGGGAGACGATGATTTTTCTGCTGGATACGAATCGTGAAAGTCCTTTTGACGGCTACTTCTTCGGGAGCTCGTGGAATGATCTCCTTTTCTGTCTCTTTCAACCAATCGACGCGACGACGAGCTTCTCTCGGGTTTGTTGTTGCAGTCTCGTCGAGAGGATCGTTTTTCTCCCCTCTCTTCTTCTTCCACGTTGTCGTCAAAACGTTCTTGCATTCGTCTTCGTTCTCGCTTGAGCAAATGGACGATCAATTTGTGAAATTTTTCTTGATCAATCCATTTGTGTTTTTTGTATTTGTGTTTGATAAATTTGGCTCTTCGCTTTTCTTCTTCTTTCTCGTCCTTGTCCACGTAGCGCTTGTCGAATTCGTCGCCGGTCAGTGTGGCTTCCAAGACTCGGTTCACCGCATCATTGTCCCCGGCATCTTCAAGTACGGCAATATCGAGGGAGGAAAATTCGTGTGCCATTTTCAAGTATTGAATGTGACAACGCTTCTCGCCCAGCTCAAAGTAGTGGTGTTGCGCACAGTCGGCACACACCAATACACCCAAATGCTTCGAGCCTCCACGGCTGTTCGTCGTCAAAAAGGAAACCCACATGGGACGTGTGTTGGGACAGTCGGCACACACTTGATTCCCTTTGGCGCGGAGTACGGCGGCCATGCGACGAGTCATGTCCGCGGTCGGTCTCTTCTTGACATTGCCTGAAGAGCTAGTACTGGTACTAGCGCTCTTGGTGGACGATGTCATGGTCGTTCTATCTATCTACCTATCAATTGTTCCCCCTTTTTGTTTGTGTTGTTTGTAATGAACCCTTCCGAAAGACAGTACTCCCGCTTGCTAATGTCGGACGTTGGATGGGTTGTTGCGTTGCCATCAGTTTTGGCCACCGTGGTAGAAGAGGCCTGGGGAGGAGCAAAGAACTTGCGTCAGGCACGTCGTGGATGATTCTTAGTCCAGAGTGCACATTGTCGATAATTAATTGTGAGAAATGCGAATGCATTCTAGTCACAAAGAACTCCAAAAGAATTATTGACTTTAAAGCCTTAAAACCAGTCCAGAAACGGAAGCCTTCTTGTCTGCTTCTGCTCCTGGCATTATTTAACGGGATGAACAATTCTCCGGTGACGTTGAAGGGTTTCCCCCGCTTTTTTAGAGCCTTTTTATGCACTTGCAGGAAGACAACTTTGGAATACAGGTAGGTGAAGTAAAACAAAATTTCTATTCAAAAAATCAAAGTAACATTACTCCAACTACGCTTCAAAATTGTCTTCCAGCCGTGTTGAGCTGTTTTGGTGATCGAGAGACCACTATTAATAGTACATCATGTATTTCTTCAATGGAATTGGTCCATGGACACATTCCTTCGTGACTTAGTCAGCTGTCAGCTCCAGTTCCCGTCCAAACATACTGTACCGTATTCTGAAATATTTTGTGTTCCCTTCACTACCTTCGGGCAAGTACATGTACATGTACCTGGTGCGGTGGGTTACCTACCTAAGGAAGCCAGCAAGCATTAGACTACAGTACGTACTGCAAGAGCATTGTGTTGTGCATGTAATAACTTGTTTATCTATTCTATCTATCTATTTGCTTCTCTGCGTTGGTTGTTCAAGGTGTATCTCGCTCTCATCAGTCCAAGTCCAAGTGAAAGGTGACGACACCATCCACCACAGCGGAACTTAGGGGACCACGAAAGGATGCTACTGCCACACGATGCCCATTGGTGACATCATCCACCGTCATCAAAAAGTCATGCACATTCAGAATGGTATCCATGGAAAGATCCGGCAGGGTGACTTGAATTGGCTGATTGTCCAAGTAGAGACCATCGACTTGAATGGAAACATCCACAGACTTTGGTACTGTGCCACCAGCTTTGAACTTGCAGCCAGTCTGGAGTTCCTGCAATTCAAAGGAATATGAGCTGGGTGCGTTATCATCAAATGTGAGTTCAAACAAAAGGGATCGAGGCTCCTTGTCATTCTGAATGGGGCAGCTTTTTGCGGCCATTGGATCACGGACATTCACCACGATAGGGTACAGAGATTCAGGACTGCCAACCATTTGACTTTGCGCTAGAGATGTACTGAAAACGTTGAAAAGGAAGAAAAGGAAACTGATTGTAATAGTAGTAAAGACCTTCATTGTGTTTTTTGTGGATGAAGAAAGTAAGAGTTGTGCTTTTATTAGTTGCTTTTGTTTTAGCTTTTGCGTGCGTTTAGTTTTGTGTCACGAGAATGTTTGCATTGCATTGAGGATGAATGAATGCAATGGTTTCGTACGATCAAAAGGTGGTTCAATCACATCGGGCACGACAATTCTCTCGTGCATGCGGTGCGCAGCCGTGCCTGCGCAGCATGAGTTCCAACCAAGCACGAGTTGCCCGCCAGCAATGTGTTCACAGCCTCGCTGGATAACCACCAAGGTCAGCACCGCACCAGCACAACCCAACATCATGGCCGACAATGATGAAGAAGAAGGCAATGTCGCCTCCAAGCCACTGATGACGCCCTTGACGGTGGATCACTACAGGCTCCTGTATGTCCACAAGGATGAAAAAATCCGTGTCTTGACGTCCAAAGTTCAAGAACAAGAGACGACGATCCAGCGTCTTCAAAAGGAATTGTCGGCGCTGCGCCAAAAACATGGAGAAGCTGCAGATTCCAGCGTAGTACCAACGAATGGAGCTGTCAATCCAGCAAATGGACAAGCGGAAGGTGCCAGTAACGAAACAAATGGAAAGGCTGCAGCAGCGAGTCCATCTATTGACAAGACGGAAAAAGCCGCGGGCTCACCGGCAGAAGAATCCGCAACCGCGCCACACCAACACACCACCAATGCCATGCCTGCCGCTACGACTACCGCTAGTACCGAAAGCAACCTGAATCAAAGTCCCGCAGAGTCACCAGAAAAAGAAACAGATTCAACACGGGAATTGTTGATCAAGAATGGATGGATTGCTGCTCCCGGTGCTAGTAGTGCTAATACTGGTAGACTGAAGAAGAAGAAAAAGAGACCTCCACCCCCAACGTCATCGTCCGAAGAATCGGATGAAGAAGAATTGGAAGACTCAGAAGAAGTTCCCCCACCACCAAAGAAAAGTAACAGAGAAAATCAGCATGAGAAAAAGAGGCCTCCACCCCCACCGTCTTTGTCAGATGAAGAAGAAGAATCAGCACCACCACCGAAGAAACCCAACAGAGAAAAGCAGCACGAAAACTTGAAGAAAGGCTGGGACCTGAGGCGAGGCTATTGGGAGGAGAGATTCGCCGAGTTGGTCACATACAAGGAGCAAAACGGACACACCAACGTGCCTCATAAATACCCCGACAATCCGGCATTGGGACACTGGGTCATTACCCAACGACAATATTACCGAAATACCATGAATCTGCCTCCAGAGATTGCCCCCGACCGAAAACTCTGCGCCGAAAAAATTTTCAAACTGCAAAAACTGGGATTCCAATGGGAGGTGCAAAAAGCGCAGAATGCCGCGACGTGGGAAGACCGATACCGCGAGTTGATCCGATTCAAGTCCGACCACGGACATTGTCGAGTACCCAAGCGATACCCACCCAACATGAAACTCGGCAATTGGGTGTATGAACAGCGGAAAAATTACAAGAGTATCCTGACGGGAACGGGTAGAGGACGCAGGGGCATGACGGACGAACGAATCCGTCGATTGGAAGAGCTGGGATTTCAATGGTCCGCCAAATCATAATAGGGGCGCGTCCATCGCGCGCCACTGGTGGCATTCTAGAACCACTCTTGTACCCAACGAATTTGTTGTCGCTTCTCTTCTAGATTCCAAGTTGATAGCAGGGCCAATTGCTATTGTATGTGATGGAAACTTTCTCCGGTACTTCGTGCTGCTAAAAATTGTCTTGCTGGTCCTTCCGGTGTTTGAGTACTGTTTGGGCTTTGCAATGGATCCAGATGATGGGTTGTGGGTACTGGTACCAGTTGCTCCGGGCGTGTGACCAGGTGATGATGACCTGCCTGGCCCGAGACGAAATGGCTGCGTAGCATGAATTGTAGGCATTGGTAGATCGAGCTGTTGATACATGAATTTGGCCTGGTGTGGAACCAAGAGTGTGGCAGGGTATTGTCCACGCAAAACGGTACGAAATGTAGCATCGTGTGACACAGCCGCAAGAAGAGCAGAAGCAAACGATTTGACAGCATGTCCAGCAAAAAGAACAACACCAGGGATTCCAACGTGGTCCCCCACCGTAGTACTAACCTGGCCCGACGATGCTTAACTTCGCTGAGCAGACGGGAAGCGGTGCTGTCATCGTGGTATGGTCGTTCCTACCGGAGTCAAAGGAGCAAAAGTACAAATATTATGTCAAAAGACTTCCCTTTAGCAATCAACCACGCTTTGGTGTTTCTTTTCCTTGCTCTACTGATGGGTTTGATTGTGCCCATGTACACTGTATTGGTCCAGGAACGTGGCCAGCACTCCAACCAGACAACTAAGAAGGTGCATTCCTCTTCTCTACCTAAGATGTTATGATTCTTTCAGTTCAGATTCCTTGAGCAATCAACCACTTGGCGTCTCTTTACCGTGCTCTGTGATTGGGTTATGTTGTGACCTTGTACCAGGTACAGTGTATGTATTGGTCCAGGAACGGGGCCAGCACTTCGGCCAGACAACGAAGAAGATGCATTCCTCTTCTCTGCCTAATAAGTAATCATTCTTTCAGTTCAGATTCGTATGTAAAATAATATATGCATATACATTGTACAAGAAGACTATGTGGAAGCACTGATGCTGCGTACTGGAAGTGATAGTCTTCTGTGTGTGATTGTGTGTCGTGTTGAGTGCACCCCGATGATCCGATGATCCCTGCTGTTGGAATTGTTTGCATTCTCCAAGTCAGTCGATCCCTTGCTCGTTCTTTACACGTCAACCATGTCGGTGAACTCAGGCTGCCCGTTCTTCAGGGTGAGGAGACCTGGGGCGTGTTCTTTCTGCGATGGTTCGTCCAAATAGCTCACATTGTCGTCTCCTTCTTCTTCCGCATCCGAAGCAAGGGTACCATCGCAATCTAGCCCAAATGCACCCGAGAAATCAGTCTCGCCGTTAAAGGCCAACCAGTATGTCTGCATCAGTCCTTTGCCTTTGGCCTCGATCTTGTCGGACCGCGGAACGATCCAGCTACCCTTGCCTCCCCTTTTCAGCTCAAAGGCGGTCTTTTCGGAGACGTGCACCCTCCCGCTCTTTCCGTTTGATTCCATTCTAGCAGCCGTATTGACGGAATCTCCAAAAAGCTGGAAACGAGATCGTTCTCCTCGCAATACACCCGCAGTCACGGGACCCGAATGCAATCCAACTCTGCACAACAACAAAAGCCGAGACAGTTTGAGTTACAATCAGCCACAGGGGCGGTTGCCTATCGAGCATCTTTCTACTTACCGCATGGCAAGCCCGAGGGTGTCCTCTCCCAGATATGCAAGCTTGGGCAACAGAAACTTCATTTTGGCCAAGCAGGCGCGAGAGAACTTGGCCATCACGAGAGCATGATTCCTGCGAGGAGTTGGGAGACCACAAACTGCAACGTAACAATCACCAATCTGGGGCAGCAAAGCAAGCAAGCAGATTCAATGGTGGATGAGTCAAAAGACGATGCAGAGAAAAAGTGACGCAACATTGGATCCACTTACCGTCTCCACTTTGAAGACCCCCATGCTATGGGCGATGGCATCAAAGGCTCGATACAAAGTTTCCAACAGCACGAACACTTCAGCAGGCTGCCTTTTGGAAGACCAACTGGTAAAGCCCACAAGGTCCGCGAACTGGACGTTCCAGAATCAAAATAGAGCACAAGGATGTTGTTAGCCAGAGTTGGTTGGTTGGTTGGTTGCTGAATGAGACAGACAGTCAGACAAACTTACAAAGATAGTGCAGCTTGGGAATAGATCGGCAATGGGTGCCTTTTTGAGAACGACACCATCGTCCTCGTCCTCTCCCGTCAAGAAGCTGCGGAGCGCCGATCGTCCCGCTTCCTTTTTCTGTTCGTCGGGAAGAAGTGCTCCCCGATCGTTAAAGAGGCGCTTTCGGACACTGGAAGGAAAGAGTGACGATACAATGGCATTGGAAATGGCAGCTTCCCCGACAATCTTGTGATGACGCTTTTCGACAAAGTGAAGGAGAACAAAAAAGGTAACTGCCATGATGAAGAAAATGGCGGCAGAGGCAATGGCCACTTGAGTGGGTAGGTTGGTCATGTAGTTGGAATAGAATTCGTCGGAAGGATAGATGCGGTAGGAGAAGATACAGTGGCCTGGGACGGTGGTCAGAACGGTTGGATCGAGGTAGTTTTCATCAAAATCAATGTACCGGCGTTGGCCATCGACAATGGTTCCCTTTTCGTGGAGATCGCCTTCACCCAGATACATGGCCTGATTCCCATTGAGTCGGTAGGTGAACTGATGACCACACGTGTTCTCGACGACGACATAGACGCCACTGATGCCTTCGGGAAGGAGGTCAATGAGATAGGCATCCCATGCCATGATGCCCATGAGATAGCCCACAATCTCATTGTTGGGATCGTCATGATCTAGCGTGCGGTATACGGGTTGGACTAGAGACCCATGAGGCTGAATGACATTGACCCCCTCTTCATCGCCAATCTGTTTGTGTCGCTTATCATGAAGCTCTTGATGCTTTTCCACCCCAGTGATGAAGTCTACCACAGTCCAAAGGAAAAAGTTGGTGTTGCCAAACATGGTGTCACGATAGTCTTCCTGAAGACCGTAGATGGTTTCGTATTCTGGATCAGAGGCAAAGTTGTACAGTTGGTAGATCAGAGACTGGGGAGGTCTGTGTTGTACAGGCAGCAAGGATGGTGGCGATCAAGCGAAACAGGGTTGAGTGGACTTTGAAGACAAGCTGACTTTCAAGGGATTGACTGCTGTACTTACGGGGAAGTCATCATGAGAGGAGTAAAGGGACCATCTCCGACCGAACCAAATGTCTCTCCCGCCAAAGGATTGACATCGTAGATCTCTGGATGAAACTGTGTGTTGGATACGTTTTCAAAGTGTAGATCCTTATCGAGCGCCATGCCCATGATGCGTTGCTGTGTAATCCACTCTTGATTGTCCACGGCAAACTTGACAAACTCTTCCGACTGCTGCAAAGTGACAACGGGTGCATACGACAGCACTTCGAGTCCGGCATTGTCCCGGGCTTGCTTGGCGAATACTTCGTAGTTGGGAAAGGTGACAAAGGGGAATGTCTTATTGAGCAACAGTGCTTCGGCCGTGAGCTCTCGGGACATGGCACGAGACGCCTCGAACATGTTCTTGAAGTGGAACTTGGAAATGTCGGTAATGGTATTGGAAAAGAGGATAAAGGCATTCTGACCGTCCTGTTTCTCCAACTCGGAAATGTACGTGTAGGCGCCCACCGAGACGGCCACACCGGCAAGTGCCATGCACGCCACCACCACGAACCGCCAGAACTGAATGAGACGCGTATCACCCTTGGTCAAGTTCTCCACATTCCGCACTTCGTCTTCCGGCTCCAGACTCTCCACTCCGGTCATACCAGAAGACACGGAAATGTGCCCCGGAATGGAAAACTTGTCGTCGACGCTCCGACTGGTCATCTCAAACGAAGCATCATCATCTTCGTGGGCTTCTGCCGTTGGCTCGGGGTGGTGCTTGGGGATGGTAGTTTCCATCGTCATGGTCGAGGTTTGGCTTTTGCTTTTTGCTTAGCTCAGCTTAACTTTGCTAAAATTGATTTGTGTTTGCGGGGTTGCAAGATGCGAGGAATAAAAATGTGACAGATAGTCCCATGCACACTTGGCTACGGGCAGCTCCATCGCCTCCAAGCCTGCTGGTCCGTACCGTACCTTGGCCACTGGATGTACTGTACATAGGCTAGTACTGAGTTGTACAGCTGTTGTACTGGCGTCGCGTCGGCATTGGCACATTGGTTTGAGGTTGTTTGGATCTGCTTCCACGATAGCGATCTACGGTTCCTGTAAACAGCTTTGTAAACCCAGTGGCTTCATTGCGTCAAAGAACTATTGAGATGTGCCCCGAAGTCAGGCTAAAAGCACTGTGTTCAATTAGCAAAATGACTGCACGTTTATGCAGTAGTCGTACTTAATGATACTTAGCCGACATCTGGCATTGGACATATTGAAACAGGGCATGAGGGAATACTCTATTTAAAGGTGAACTTTCTGCTGGCACTCGGATAGTTCCACTGACGAAACCGTATATGTACATTGAGATTTATTGAAATCTCCAAAGCTATTCTTTAGAGCAACAAAGAAGCTTCTTTGAACTTTCGAAGAATCTGCCCGAGCCGCATGTGCGTGCGAAGGGCGAAGCAGCGCGGCACAAGAGTTCACCGAGTAAGACTTAATGAACCGGGAACGCAGCTGGCCAAACTTTTGTCCAGGGGGTGGTACTCACACTGTTTTAGCATGTGAGTATGGGTACTGAGTAGTACTCACAATTCCAAAGTCAAGTGAGTATGGGTACTGGGTAATACTCACAATTCCCAGGGTCAAGTGAGTACGGGTATCATGTGAGTACAGGTACTTTGTGGGTACTATAGAGTACTCACTGAGTACTCATAAATCAATTACTTAGGGAAATTATCTAGGTTTTTCTAGTTCTGGGCTGGGGGCCCATCAATCTTGTTGTAAAGGTCCACCATGGCATCAATATCACTGTCATAATCCTCCTCTTCACATCTGCTGGCAGTTAGCTTGAGGAGATCCTTGGTCCTATTCTTAGCCCATTACTTTCTTGCATCATTGATGCATTGCTTGTAGTTCTGGATGAATGCACTGTTCTTGTAGCAAAGAAGGCGCATTTGGAATGTCATGTCAACCTTCTGTCCATTGCTGAGTTTTCCATCAAACCATGTACAAGAACTGAAAACTCTTTCTTGGAAGCCGTTGCTATCTGGCATTGCAAAGATGCGCACAGCAACTTCAAAGATGATTGGGTGGTTGGTTTTGCCAGTTGTCTCCCACCAAAATACTCACAAAATACTCACCGAGTACTCACTGGTACTCACTTCGAAGTACTCACCGAAGTACTCACCGAAGACTCAAAAAGTACTCAAAATCCGGAGTCATGTGAGTACGGGTACTGAGTAATACTCACATTTTCTGAGGTCATGTGAGTATGGGTACTGAGTATACTCAGTACTCAGTACCCGTACTCACATCGAGTACACGCAGCGTGTATTTCATGTGAGTCCCACACCCTGCTGCACAGGCAAGCTCAAACCAAGGCGGTCCATTTCCTGGATTACCTGGAAGCGCGGTTGGTGGGTAACCTTTTCACAGGTGATGCCATTGTCGAAGTAAAAACTGTCAAAGTTGGTTGTAAACTGAGCCGATTCAATGTGTTTCAAACGGTCGTCTAAACATGGATATGTCCAAACACCGAAGATGGCCTTGTAGTCCTCGCCGGTGAAATCCGGGAATACTTCATTGTCCACCTTGAGCCTCCACAGAAACAAGGCGCCTGACCATGCACCTGCATCCTTGAGGAATCCATGTTGGGGATAATGTAGGTGTACTCCAGGCGCCATCTTTGTTGTGCTTTGCCTTATTTGTGACAATTTGGCAAGCCCTCATTCCACGAAACCCGATCTCGTCAAGGGTTGTATGATTGCGCTGTATTAGACGTTGGTCGCGGAATTCCTCTCCTCTTCTGGTTGTGGCACTCATCGACCAATATTGAGAGGCAAACTGAAGCCGGTAGAATGGGTGTAGCTTGGCCACTGCTCCATTGGACTTGCTCGAAATACAGATAATGCCATCTCTCTAGTTTGTTCCGGAGTCAGGAGCTGCTGAAGCCCGGCTTGGATATCTTCACATGTGTCAGCCAAGTGATTGAGCTGCTGCACGGGATGTGACCGTAGACACACTTTTCTGTATAGACAGCGACTCTCCAACCTTGATTTGGACCAACTCGGCATATTGATTGACTTCCTTTTGGCGGGAGTAGTGTTCACACTTAAGATGTGTATTCACAAACGTCTTAGCTTTTATAAGAACCGATTTGCCAACATGAAGATCAGCCGAAAGAAACCGAAAGAATCCATCGGTTCTCTCCCTATCATATTGCTGGTGGTTTTGGATATCTTCTCGCTTGCTGTACAACTGTAGACCATGGTTTCGAACCCATGGCTCCTGTTGGTTAATCGTGCCACAGTACTTGGCCCAACGAGGAGCGATGCATCGAATCGCCCTCTCTACCGATGGCTTGCAAATGTGATCTTGTTCCATGTTGGGATAAAGCTCCAGTAACGGCAGAATTTTACAATCGGCCGGAGGTACAGACTCCTCGGTTGAGAGCTCCAACTCGTCGTTCAGATCCGGTGCTTGCTGTGGGAGATCTTGTTCATACTCGGCAGCAGCAAAAGTATCAAATTCGGCCCTCGTGGTGGCTTCTCCGGCAATGGAAATGTCGTTGGTCGAGGTACCGGCAAAGCCACTGCCGTCATGGCTGTCTCTGGCTGCAACAGCTGTATCAGGGGAGCTACTCATCTTTCCAAATAGCAGATAGAAACTATGAGATGGGTGGCAACCCAGTCCATTGGTGCTCCTCCTGGTGCTACTCCTGGTGCAGGTGCCACCAACACAACCTGCACCGCCACCAGTAGCAGCAGTATGGATGGTACTCTCCCATTTGAATGCTGCGAATTCCTAAGTGTTAATGCTAGTTTGGCCCACCATACTCTCAGAGCCAGGCAGTCTGGCAAAGGAGCCCACCGGCCACTAGGGACTGGTGTCAGCTGAGTCCCCTGTGGTGGGGGAAGCAGGCAGGGTGGAGGCAAAGTTTCCCAAAAGTAATCCGCAGAGGTACAGGGAGATTTCTACAGGGATCCAGTAGGGTGTGCAGGTGCGCGCATGAGAGAGATGTTATACAGTGAGAAAGAATGTGGATTTCAACCGCGTTCATTGAATTACATGTAGTTCACTAACCGGATACTACATGAATTGCGTTTCATGAACATTAGTGAAAAATGGGCAAAATCTAATGAACATGAAATTGGTTCGTGAACGGTTCAATGAGCCAGAAATGGTGTAGGATGGCACCAAAAGATTGGACGGCAAAGCCGTCACAGTCTAGAAAGGTGTCAAAACTGATGTTTGTGTCCATTGTGGAGGGTATCTGGCAAACAACTAAAGGGAAATCTCACCTAGCTCAATGTGATTCCTATCAACAGCACCCTAATCAGCAATATTGACTTTGTGAACCTGATTTCATGGTAGGACTCACTAAAAGCAGCAGTCCAATGAACCATGAACCTTGTTCATGAAAATTTTAACCGTAATGAACGTTTCTTTATGAACCTCCTTGGTGAACCGTTCATGAACGTTCCTTGAACTTCCCAATAAATGGCGTGCACTGCAAATAAATAGTCTGGCGGCGAGTGGTGCATATAAATACGCGAAATCCGCGGTTTTTCCGCCATTTCCGCCACTTTTCCGCGAGAAAAACGCGAGGAAACTGCTACTTAACCGCGATGAAACCGGGACTGGTTGATTTCTACATGGATTTAAGCACGCGGAAAGCTCGCGTTTAAATGGCGGTTTCCTCGCAGTTTTCTTGCAATGCGAAAACAGCCAAAATGGCGAATGCACTACGCTAAAAGCTAGTGTAAAGATTTTTCGAGTGTTTTGAGTTTGAGAGAATGAAAGTTATGAGAGGATTAGAAAGCTATGAAAACTAATCAACGAGAGAAGAGATCCACAATCAAAGGATCGTAGATCTGAACTCACGCGGGAGACAGTAAAGTAAAGATTAGGTTGCTGTAGCAATCTTACTCACTCCACGATCCATAAAACGGAACGCGTGAAGATTCGTCTAGCATTATCTAGTAGAGTGGAAAGTACTCCACGACGGCTAAATATCTAGAGCGATGGTTAATCATAAACCTAGTATGACTAGAGCGGTATTTGAGAACCCTGTCTCAAAGACTATTCACGAGAGACTTAGTCATGAGTCGAACTCAAACCCATTCTAGATCACGTCGCGAATAAGGCTAAGAGTCGTGTATTGCATCCGCCCCCTGACAAGGGTCACGGAAGGCAAGACATCAGTCGGACAAGGATTACATATGAATTAAAGTGCGGGGGCAACTTTTTTCCCCTTTTTTTTTCCCCCCCTCCGGGGTAAAAAAGGGATCTTTTTTGGGCGGAAAAAAATAAAAAATTGGGGTTAGGAAAATAAAAACATTTGTGTTTTAGCGTGCGCACGAGTGGCAATCCCCAACAAGGGGATCAGGCCTTGTATGGGTGTATATATACCTTATGTTCCAAGTTCGGTAGACTGTGCCGCTACTGCGGTAGTAATGGTCGGAGCCGTACAGTGCCATTTGTTATGGACTCGGTCTGGGTGGTAATGACCTTTGTACCGTACGTAAAACGTTTCTGGTACTGATGAATCATCATTGTTTCGTTGACATGGTGTTGAGAAGGGACACGTGTCGTGTTATCCTTATCGGGTGTTTTTCTGGATAATTTGTTGGCGACGTTCCTTGAAGTATTTCCGGTTTGCTTTGAAACGGAAGTGGTGAATCTTGTCACGATTGACGGCAGCTGAACTTGCGACGAAGTCCACGTTCAACCCGGAGAGTCTTCTCGAACTCTACGCGGGACTCACGTTCTCTTGTCCATGACGACTGGTCATGGATGCTGGGTATCCT